TTTTCGATTTAAATTTAAACTCTTCATTGTACGTCACGTGTAGCAAGCTTTTAGTAAATATACATACGAGTTTTACACTATGCCGTTATATAGATTTAAAAATAATTAAACAATACGAGACACAAATGCATCATCTTCAGCTCATTGGGGTGCATATAGTTTCCCGCTTGTTTTCTTTAAAAAATTAATAATTTGTGTTACCGTGATTTTCAAGTAACCGTCCGATTTTCATGTAGCTGACCGATTTTCATGTAGTCGACCGATTTCTATGTAGCCGACCGATTTTCATGTAGCCGACCGATTTTCATGTAGCCGACCGATTTTCATATAGCCGACCGATTTTCATATAGCCGACCGATTTTCATATAGCCGACCGATTTTCACGTAACCGACCGATTTTCATATAGCCGGCCGATTTTCATGTAGCCGACCGATTTTCATATAGTCGGCCGATTTTCATGTAGCCGACCGATTTTCATGTAGCCGACCGACTTTTTTTCAAGTAGCAGAACGATTTTCAAATAGCCGACGGATTTTCATGTAGCGGACTAATTGTATATATAGGCCACCGTATGTTGTTGCTACAAGCAGACATAGGCGAGTTCGCACATAAACCTATATGGCCTATAGTTTTGATGATTTTATATCAGGGATTCTGGCAGAATCATCATAAAGGAAACGCTTTAATAAGAATGTTCATTAGATCTAATAGAAACATTGTCATCTAGATTCATCATCGCCTTATGGAAGTTTTTCTCTGATAGTATCTAATACAAATCGGCAATAAGTCTAATGATTTCTAATAGACAATGTCCACTTGGAAGAAGCCTCTATTAACATTTTCTATCTGATCGAATAGAAACCATTAGATTTACTGTCAATTTTTTTTTTCGATAGTATCAGCGAATAACTACCATAGGAGAGGTGGGAGATAGCTCTAATAATATGCTTTATTATATCTAATAGAATCATTAGTTATATTATCAGTGACGTTGTCACCCAATCAAAAACTATAATACGTTAGATCTATTGGCAATAGTTCGATCGATCTATCAATGAACGTCCCATACCCATATTTTAGATTTGACGTGCTCATTCCATTATTGATATAATATGAGGTTATTACGAGGATACCTCAAAGTATGCACAGTGACAGCACCAGAAAGAGCATAGACTGATGCGCAGCGGAGGTCGATGCGACGGCGTACTGTCCGAGTGCATACTTTGAAGTATCCTCGTAACAACCTTATTATTATACATCTTTTCCTTCCAAGGATGCATCATGGAATGCCGAAATCTAAAAAGTTTAGAACAGAATCAGCGAACTTCTTTGTACTGAGTCCGGTCAAACCCTAGTGGTAGCCATGTTTGTGTTTTTATTATTAGAGGACGCTTACATGATTAATCATTCCATTTTTGGAATTCGCATTTCCTTATATGGTAGGATGAAAATACCCTGTAAATACCGCAAAATTACAGCACGCTGTAACTTATGGCATTACGGTGACAGATGTATAATAATAGACAATACCCGGGTAATATTATTCGATAACGGTACAAGGTACAATGTCGCACTTTCCTCAACGGAATGTATCCACTGTAACAATGTGTTGCTAAAGTTGAATGGGATTTGAATCAGTAATATAAAATGGAAAATTGTCAAGAGATTTAAATTTTAATATCTTGGTTCGTAAAAGAGTGACAGCCTAATCACCTTACAAGGTCGAAGTTCAAGAGAATGGGTGAGGTTGTTACAGTGCTGTAAATATAGACAAATAAGTAGTTGATACAATGGTAACAATTGAAACTACGACTGATTTTCCTGAATCTACGTCATCGTCCACGTTATCAGCAGCAGCAGCTGTTGTGGCTGGTTTCGACATTTGTTTAGTTGTAGCAGGTGCGGGTGGGGCAGGCGTGGCGGTTTCCACGCAATAGAAATTATACATTGCCCTGGTTTGTTCGTCTATTGTTATCTCCATGCTATCTGCATTGGGACACAGCTCCTTGACTTTGTCTGTTTCACATGCCGCCATCGTTTTATAAGCCCTGAAAAAAAAACAGCCATTGGTGTGAAAAAAACATGCAGAAATCATTTATTGTAAACAATGTAGTTGTGACAGAATAATGGAAAAAATATGAATATGAGATAGCTCCACGCTTCACAATGCACATTTCAATTAAAGAATTGAAGATATCATTAGAAAATGAACAAATCTGTACCAAGTATCAAAGCAATCAGGCTTGTAGTTTTCAAGAAAGTTGACGTGGACAACGAGGACGGACACTCACTCACATGATAAGCTGCGCTCGACAGCGGAGATAAAAAAAATTACTAAAAATTTAAAAAATAGGGAATTAATAATTGTCGTAAAATGAAGATTGTAAGACACAAAAGAACCACCCAACAACAATGGGGCTTTTGATTGATAATTTTGGACAAGATGTAATAAATCATTTTTGTCAGTCATACTAAAATAATTGTTTGGAGAACAACTTTGTCAATATCTCATGGTAAGTTTTCATACTGGACACAGAAATAATCAAACTTAAGCAAAATGTTATACCCATAAACAATATCACCATGTTTGAAATGGTTTGGATAAAAATTACTAAAATTAAACAATAAAATCATTAACGACCACGACAACGACGGATATTATTTCACCCTTCATATTGCTATTATGGGCAAGGTAAAAAGAGATACTCACTCGCACAGTCTCAAATCTACTCTATCTTCGTTAAATATTTCCATGAAGGGAGCATGGCATGCCTGACTGGCGGCTGTCATTCCATCTTCACATCCTCCGACGGAGGTAGTGGGGTTTAAATCTACTGTGACTCCAGAGCAAAACACTTGTTGGTAACCTGGGGCAGCTATAATAAGAGCACCTAATGAGGCTTCAATGGTGGTTTTCACCATATCTCCGTCATCTAAACCAGCAATGCATTTATCCTTTTCTGTCATTAGGCAAGGTCCCAGTGTACCTACTTTTTCCCTGTGGAAACATATGACATATTCTTAAACATCATCAATTGTCGTGATATAATCATTACTTTACTAACCACTGTTCATCAAAATGAAACAAATGGTCAGAATAGTAATGATGGTGAATATACTTCCAGCAAAGGTTTGAAAGTACTATTTGTACTATAGGTAAAATTTTTTTGTTTTTTGGATGGATGGTATCATTTCATTGTTGTACTAGTATCTTAAATTCATCGTAGTAAATACCGCCTTCTGTTGAGACTTACTCGCAATTTTCTTTGCTTTCCCGCAATGCGATGAGATATTCTCCGTTACAGTACTGGATAACCGAACCCATCCACGTCATAAAATCCATCATCGAAGTCGGGCAACTTGCTACTTCTGTTTGTCCATGAGAGAAACCAATTAATGCTACAATAAATAACAAAACTTATGAATATACATAAGAATGAGTGACCTGTTACAAAGAATACCATAAAAAAACGTACATGTAATAAACCTGTATTATACAATGTAAGCTGAAGCATATGCGATAATAATTTAAAACAAGAAGTTCTGATAAATTGTCAAAACAGGTAGACGGGTGATGATTAGTCTCCTGGAATTCAGAGTGTTCCATGACAACTTTTAAATGAATAAATTAAATAAAACAATGCCATTATTGTTGATTTACAGAATTCAATTAACGAGCTATAAGACAATAACTGAGCTGGTCGTTTTCAAAACTAACTCGATAATATAATGTTTTATCAAAAAGGACCTAAATATTTAGAAACAAGTAATCCAACGATAAAGAGCTCCAATAAGAACATTGTGGTGATCAAGTCAAATGTACAAAAGAACAACGCTCACCTAACTTCATCACCAACATTGTTAATGTTTAGCCATGTGAGCAAATATTGCATTTTCTTTCATCCCCAAACAAAAAATATGTGTAACCTCCACCAAAAACTAAACAGGCGACTGAAATATCATTTTTCTATCAAAAATGACAAACATGTTTGCTAAAAATAGGGAATTATGTTTTCGTCTTGGAGTGAACAAATGTGACATATGACCATCCAAGCTACCAAGCGTCCTAAAAAAGCAGAGACTGAAAATAAGCCTATTAACTTTAATTGTTTATTGCTATTAAGTTAAGTTAAGCTCCTAATCCCTTTGTACTCCTGGTGTTAGGTAATAGTTGATGTTTGTTTAAGCAAGTGAAGTGACAATAATATTCAGATCACAGAAACAATTTTCCGATGAAATATGAAATAATTGCGCTGATCATAAGGTAGTAACTCATGCACAATGAATGACCTTTGTTGAAAACGAGAAGTCCCCATTCACACTACACATTGGAAAATAGACAGCTTGTTGTTTCTTCGCCACCAAATAGACAAACGAAGTGCTGAAAAATTGCTAGTTCATTTTTTCAACTAATAAAGTCTGCCCATTCTTCCGCAGAAAAATCTTCAACTATATCATAAATTTCTAAATGAACTTGTGTCACACTCAACGCCATGTTTGTTCTGCACATGCGCACTTCATTCGGATAATTAACAGACAACAGGAAAACAGATAACACATTGTTTGCTCGACAAAAAATCGCCAACTATCATAGTACACGAAGGAAACAATAGGCGTCACTGCTTCATTTTATAGCTCCATGGTGAAAGGGAACCAAATTTTAATCTTGTTTATATCTGGTGGTGATGTGCGTGTGTGTGTGTAGGGGGGGGGGGGTGCACTTATCATAGACAGTGGGAACAATATATAATTAAATGTAGTTTTCAATTTACCCCCTCCTGTTGCTCATGCATTACATTTTGATTTTATTATGACAGCCTGACATTGTCCGCGATAGTTGTTGCACCTTCGCCGACTGATTTGCTCGGACATCAGTGGGAATCTCCAGGAGCTACATGAATTGATAAGCACCTATGGATGAAAAAAGTGCACGAGTGAATTCCCAAGTCATCACTCACCTGTCAAAACAGCAGCGACCAGTAATAATGACTGCATAATTCACTCGAAAGGAAAAAACCTGGGAAAAGACGATAACACTTGATTAGTCATTGCTGGGTTCCTGACACTTACTAGGAACGCAGGATACTGCACGTTTTTTTTTATCGGACTATTGGATAATTATTGAACTTATTATTGCAGACAGTCATTGTTAATGAACATAGTCCAGTTGGAATTAGGAGAACGTTATTCATGCCAAAAATAAAGTAATATGGACCAAAAGCATAGTTAAAGGAGACATTAAACCAAACAACATAATGACCCCTCAAGAAAAAGCTCCACAAATGTAGGAGAATGCAATTTACAGTTTTTTTATATCACTTTTCATTCTCCAGATATTCAACTTTTCATTAGTATTATGTAGTCAGCCATCTTGATTATCAAGCAAAGGATTATGGGTAAAGTATGACATAGAATCAGTTGTGAAATATCTATAACTTCAAAAGTTGAGCTTCAAATTGGTTGAAAGTTTAGAACATGGTAGCACACATGCACTGGTGTCAAACATGCGTATTTAAATAGTTGTCATGGAAAACAGAAACATGAAAATATTTATTTTTATGTTTTTCTACCAAATGCTCTAATTTCCTTATATTGTATAGAATTTACCGATGCGAGAAAAGGAAAGCTGGTTTCAACCAAAGATGGAAAGAAGCCAATTCCTGGTTAAAGGTCACTTCAGATGGGAAAAGTGAGTTTATTTTTTAAATATACTTTCTGTCGTTTTCGAGTTGCTACGCCATTACTTTAGGGGTCAGATTTGCCGAAGGCTTCCCCAGCACATGCTTTTGTTTGAACTCTATCTAGTTGTTACATAATTTTTATACAAACTTTACTTCACGTTTTGTTTGACTTGCTTGCATATCTGTTTTAATCGCTGTAAAAATACTAGTACGTTATTTGTTGTTGTTGCCTGTTTGTAATAAAGACGAATTGTCATGTGCTTATTTGGGGTTATAAGGTCAATGAGTCATCCGCCATTGTTTCATGTTGCCATCGGAATGGCCGAGGTTTTCAATAATAGTTTTGTTCTCTGGCGGGCAAATTGAACACCAGGAATAATTATTTTGCCTATGAAATGTCAGTTTTGTCATAGTTTCTTATTTGATAGGTAAAATTTGAAGACCGATAAAGGTTCGAAGATATGGAGTTCAGTGCCGTGCAGTAATATAACAAATCAAAGCGTTAAAGTGCCTGTGAAATGCCTACTATTTTATGGCTTATATTACACTTGAAATATATACTAGTATGAATCTTAGTAGTTGTATGATCACAGAAAATAAATTTAACGCCCAAAAGTGCTTTTTAGTTACCCCTTGCCACACAGCCTATTGCACGGTCGCTGAGCTAATTAAATATTCATTACATTTGCTTAACGAAAATACCATGGTGACGTCACCATGTGCTAACGTACTGGCAACACGCAATGGAAGTCGTTCGTCCAAGCAGTGTTTCATCGTCGATTTCGTCCTTGTCTGATGACACAGACACTTCAAATTTCTTAGATTATGAGAATGATCAATGGTCTACGGGAATGATGGGGGCACAGATCTAGAAGCAGTACCTACACACGAATTGGTGACGTCATAAAATACATGACCTTCAATCGGGGTCGTTTCCTCGGTATATACGAATTGGTATATACAAATTACAATAAAGATACTTAAGACATTACACATAAGGTAAAACAAATCACGTGACAATATAATGATAATAACGGTAATAAATCCTAGCTTAACAGATGAACAGAACGCTCATATAGTCAGTCGGGTGACGCCGAGGGTCACGAACTGTGTTGCAAAATGGCCGTGTGGTTGAAACTGGGTCATGGCGTGACGGGTGAGGAAGACATCATTAAACACTCAAAATCACAATAAAACGGGGAAGTGGTTGCATATTACGGCGTAGCTAACATGGAAAATAAAAAAACGCCCAATACAAACGACATGGGTTCGAATCACACTAGATACACACTCACCAGAACCGAAGCATCAGAAACCAGCAATCGTTTTGGCTTTTCCGTTCAACTCATCGGAACACTGGAGTAGTTAGAAAAATGAACACCACTTAACGACCAACGTCGTGGCGTGGTACACAAGCGTGCCATCAAAATAAAACAAAATTAGCTTGAAAAGACAGTGGGTTCGAGTCCCGCTCAGAGCTACCGTAAAAACGTAAATCAAATAAACTGAAATCTTT